GGACAGGAGCAGAGCCCAGGTCTCTTTTCTGGCACCAGCCTCCCAGGTAGCAGCTGAGCACGTCACCATTGTGCCAACGATAGCCATTCACCCGGCAATTGGCCGCATTCATCTTGCTTCTACTTTTTATCTTTCATGAATAATGCTGCATAGCAAATGATTAACAAATGCATGCTCCCACCACAAACAGGGAATTCCACAGATCAAAACCTCGGTTGGGTTCCTCATTCATTGGCAGTGTAGACTCATGGCATGTCCAGGCACACCCACGTTGGTCGCCTGGCTCGGTTGTGACCAGAAAACAAACATACTGCTCTTTATATTAAGAGCTTGGGCAGGCAGGCCAAGCAGAAAGATGAAAATCCTGAGAAACCTTTTGGCACATGCCAGGTGGCATTGTGATGCTGGGGGCTATGATTGTAACCATTCAGGTGCCATTGCAAAGGGCTGCTGGAAGTCCTAAGAGTGCCCCCTCACCCTGACTGTACCACCTGGCTCCTCTAAAGCACCTCCCTGTGAGTGGCACACACACAATTCAAAAGTGTGCCACCCTTATTTAGACATAACATTCTATAAGTGAACAAAACAAAAATATTCTATATTTACATGAACACCTGCACCATAATCCTATGAACATATTCCCCCACCTAGGAAAGTTTGTCAGCCAGCCACTTCATGCCTTTATCCTCCCAATTTGGTGTATCTAATTTCTATACTGCCCACTTACATCAACCCAGTGCTCTGAGGAGACAATCATATTCTTTGATGTGAAGAATCTTCATTCCAGTTGGGACCTTGTGAGCCCGCATCCATAATCAAGGTCAAATCAGGACAGGCCTCCCATAAAGTTAGCAACAATATGCACCAGTTTACAGGCTCAAATATCTTCTCTTCATCTGGTTGGGTTCTGGTCAGCTCAATGTGGGCTGCCTCACTTAGCCTCACCTGGGTGCCCATTGGTCACCTCGCCTTTAGACTATGGGCACTGTTCCAAATGCTCAACAGCCCTAGTCCCCTTGTGCTAGGTCATGAGCTTCAGACCAGTCAACCCATCTCATCTTCTTCTCCAGTCCCTGTGAACCAGGTCCATGGGTGTCAGTGGCCAGACTCAACCCATCTCTTTATTGCTGCATCTCTCTCACTTCCACTCAACAAGTGAATCCACGTGGTCACCTAGCAAGCATTTCAGCCTGCCCACAGTCTCCCTTTAATACTCAGTCCTTGAGAGGAGTTTCTTCAGGGCTCCAGATTTTTTCTGGCTGTGAGCATGAACCACTAGTTCAAAATCCAAAAAGACTTAAAAGAGTTCCTTTTTTCTTCAGTTGGTCAACAGCCCCATAGGCAAGCCTCTTCACCTTCAAATGTCCTGAGCACTCAAGACACTGGGTGGGGCTTAGCTTTTCAGAGCTTTCTTTGCAGGCATGTCCTAACCTATTTAAATATTCAAATTAATGGCTAAAGGCAAGTGGGCTTACAAGCTCTCTATTTTTATACATCCCAATAATCATTACTATCAATCACTGTATCAATAAAATGGGGGCGGAAAAAGCAGTATAAACCTAGTAGAGCCAGATCCTAAACTCAATCGTAGAACAATCAAAATCTATATTTATCGATCCTATCTTAATCCTTATATAAACTATTCTGTTGATACAAAATATGACTTTAGGCCTCTTGACTGAATCAAGCCAGGCCCAGCCTTTCTGTCAGCCATTTTCACTAAAGCAGCATGGTCTCTGAGAAATTCAAGGGGAGATTTCACCCCCTGAGCTCAAAATATACATTAATCACATTCATTTTTGCCATTTCAAATAATCAAAGACAACCACCAAAGAAAACAATAAAAACTTTAACTTCCCATGTTCCTGCCAGAACACAGCCCAGTAAACCGCATGACCATCTCTGACCTCTGGCCAGCCAAAAAAGAGAAACTACCGTGAGGCAGAGGTCACTCTCCATCTTTATGATTTGTTTCTCTTCTTCCCTAATCCCAAGGTACCATAGTGTGTTATTCTGGGTGGACTAGAGAAACAAATCCAGAGACACTCATAGGTGTATAGGAAGGACCTTTATATAAAAGAGCAATTGTATATTGAGAAAACATCTGGGCTCAGTCCAGATCAAGTCCATAAGTCCGATATTATCCCATATGTCCAAAACCAGTCTATAAATTTCTCTTCAGACTCATGCAACACAAGCAATGACACCAAATGCAGGACAATCACAGGCCAGTGGGTGGAAAGTCTTGTGGATCCAGTGGCTGTGGAAGCATCTCAGCCCTGGCATGGGTTTGCACGTGGCTCCTCCAGCTCTAGGGCTCTGGTTCCATCAGCATCACTCCATTGTCTTGTCAGCAGGAAGACGAAGCCCATAGTCTGCGTGTGGCCTCCAGTGAGCTATTTATCTCCGTGGCTTATCTCCGTGGCGCCTCCAAATGAGGTCAAGCTGCGGCCTGATTGACAGGCTAAACTCCGCCCCTTCACTCTTAATAGTCTCAAGTTGATAGCAGATTATGTAACTACCACATTTTACTCATCCAATATATACCTTCCCTACCCCTACCGTTCTGTTGTCCAATCCCATCGGGTGGGGTTATGCATTCAGTGCTATCAATACTCCCCCTCCCCCTTCCCATACCCTCAGGGAACCGTTACTCTTGTCACTGTCTCTGAGGTGGTCCTCTATCTTGACTACCACGTACCGAGAGATCTTAAATATACAATTGAGCATGTGTAAATCGACATAATTAATGAGGTATATCACATATTATAGACCTTAATAGTAAGGGGAGGAAATCTTATAAGAACTAGAGGATAGTTATGTGGCTCATACCACGCCCTAGATTTATCCCCTCTTCCATGTGGCCTTTTTGAGTGGACTGTCCAACTGTCTTGCTGGTGGAATTTTTTTTTATTTTTTACTTACATTTTTTAAACAGAATTGATTGGAACCAATAGTATAAGAAGAATTGGAGTACTGTTCTTTTCTCCACTTGACGTCATGTCATAATATTTTCACATATTAACAAACAAAGAAAAACAACGCCCCCCACACAAACATATTTTCACATATTTAATATTATTTGAAAACTTCAATTTTAATAGCAGCAAAGTAGCCCATTGTCTGGATTTATTACAATTTATGTAACAGTTTTTCTATTTGTAGACAATGTGGGTAGCATTATTCTATTTAAATAAAACTGTCTTGCTTGGAAATATTTCCCCCAAAATTTCTTATTTCCTTTGGAGAGTTTTCTGGAAGTGTGATCTCTGGGTCAGAGGGTGGGAGGTTTTTAAAGACTCCTGATGCTCCATGCCAGATTGTTTCTTAGAAAGGTTGAAGGTGATACTTAGCGTACAATTAAAAAAAGAAAAAGAAAAGAATTAGGAAGGTCATAAAAAGGACATCTCTTTATTTAATCTTCATTTATTTAATAGTGAAGCTGAGCAATCTTCCCTATGTGTGGTGATCATTAATGCCTCTTCTATTCTGAGTTATCTTTTCATTTATTTTTCCCATTGTCGAGTTGGGTTTTAGCATGGCTCATATCCATTTGTAAAAGCTGTTTACATATTAAGGACATAAATTCGCGCCTGTCATGTTTATTGCAGATATTTTCCCAGTTTATTATTTGCCTGCATATTTGGGCAAGATGTATTCTTTGAACACAGATATATGTATATGACATGTATTTAAAAATAACTCCCATTTATTAGGTACTTACCACATGCTGGGCACTGAAGGAAACTTCATACATAGGTGGTCTCATTTAATCTCCGTTATAGCCTTAGTAGGATCCAACATTTTCCCTTATCATGAATGAGGTTCAAGGTCATCTAGCTAGTAAATGAATGAGTTAGGGATCTGAACAACTGAATAGACAAATCGTGATATGCCAGGGCTTTTGAATTATGCTGGCTTTGTCATGGAAGTAGCTTTAACCTGGACAGTTCATCTTATTATATTTTTAGGGTTTTGAATAGGTAATGCATTCATTGAAAAAGTACTTAAAGGGAAGTGTTGAAGAGCCTCCCTCCCACTGCTGTTCCCCATCCACCTGCCCATCGGCTCTGTTCTCCACCTCCTCTGCAGATACGTCTCCCAATAGTGCTGGCTGTGCTTCTGGGCTCTTCGTGTGCAGATACGAGTAAACATAACGCGTGATCCTTGTCTTCCTCCCTCCCCTCACTTTATGCAAAAGGAGAAACCGGGCCATGGTGACTGCTGGCTTTTGAATTTGCAAGACTTGGTTACCACTTTGGTGCAGAGTGCACCACAAAGTAGATCTCCGATGAAATACGTTATCATCCCCCATTTTGGAGGAATTCTTCATGTAGATCTATTTGTTTAGACAGTGATTTCACACTGAAAATCTATTTGGGGCTAAACTCCAACACTGCCAACAGAGTCTTTCAAACAGTGTCCAGACATTATCAGGAATAAAGCCAGAGGACCAACCAGGTAGTTCTAAAGAAACAGGGGGGCATCTGTCACTCTCAGAGCCTCTCGGAATAGGGGTTGGCACTCGGCTATTACATGAGAGGTACTTACCTCTTAAGAAAACAGTCCCAAATACCCATTTATAAACTATCAAGGGCTCATGCGGGAGGGGGGAGTGGGGAGGGAGGGGGAAAATGAGGACCTAATGTCGGGGGTTTTAAATGGAGAGAAAATGTTTTGAGAAACGATGTACAAATGCGCTTTACACAATTGATGTGTGTATGGATTGGGATAACAGTTGTATGAGCCACTAATAAAATGTTAAAAAAAAAAAAAAAAGAAAACAGTCCCTCCTTCCTAGTTAGCGATTGCAGTCGTTCATGTCAGCTGTTTTCCAGATGGTCCTGTTTACTGCTGCGTGGGGGTTAAGCTCTGGGTGACTCCAGGGACACACCTGCAAGCCACGGGCTGGGAGATGTGTCTTGCCCTTCCCCTGAGTAGCAGGTACAGGAGCACCTGGGCCCCTCCAGAAGCCACTTCCCTAGAGCTTGCTGCTTTTGAGCTGCCATGTTTTCCTCCCAGGTACTGGCGGAGGACTCTGGGCATGCAGGTCCGCTATGCCCATCATGAAGACTATCAGTTCTGCTATTCCGTCCGTGGCAGAGCTGGGAACAAGCCCACCATCCTCATGCTCCACGGATTCTCCGCACACAAGGATATGTGGCTCAGCGTGGTCAAGGTGAGGCTCCAGATCTTTCTCTCACACAAGGGTGGCTGTCACTCAGTAAATCGCAGCGAGCAAAAGGGAACCCAGAACTGTGGGTCAAGTCATGTTCCATACAAACGAATTCATTGTTCAAACCCGTGTGTCAGAGAAACATGTATTGAGTGGAATCGTACTTGTAAGATCTGTGGCTTCATAATCACTTCTCCTTAGAGAGGGCTCCTTCACCCCAGAACTGCCCTGCCTATTAGGATCAGGCGATTTAAAAATTGATCGATTGGATTCCAGGTTTCTCCTCTTTCTTTCCATCCAGCTCCTTTCTTCTTTTTCCTTCCCTCGATTTTCTACTTCCGCTGCTTCTGTTTCACTTTTCTTTTTTAAGTCACTCGCAGAAAGAGTTGAGAGCCCGCAGATTGCTGGGCCAGTTTTACAAGTCACTCACTTTCTGTCCCGATTGACTTGGGCGTGGCCACTTGGTAGCGTGAGGCCAGGACTGGAGATGTCTTGCATTGACCTCACTGGCCCAGACTCCCGGCAAGTGGCACTTGCCACGATGACCCCACGTGATTCTCTCTGCCAGGAGCAAAAGGCTCCCATGTCCCCACTTGCCTGTACCCTTTTCTTATTTCCTCCACGTTTCACCCGCGCTCACTCATCCCCATGTGTTCATGAGCCTCTGGCTTTGCAGAGAAACCCCCTTCTTCTAACAGGATGCTTGTGTGTTGATAACAGGTTTGTCTCAGTTCCCGGTTGAAAGTGCTGCATGTGGAAGTGGAAGACAGCAAGAGGCATTTGAGGACATTAATCAGCATCGGCATTAGACCCTAATGCAAAGAAAGAGGGAAAAGTCTCAGAAACCAGATCAGGCGTGGCTCCCAATTGAGTTGGCCAGGTTTCTGGGAGATCAGGACCACCCTTCTAGTTCCAAGTGGGCAGCCGAGAGAGTGGAGTGTGTGTAGAAAGGAAGAGAGGAGGAAGAGGGGGAGGAGGGCCTCAGGAGAGCTCATTCACTCACCTGCTTCTGAGGCCACACACCCAGTGGCCAGGCGCATGCACCTCCAGCGATGGCTAGTCAGGCCACCTAGAAACGAGAGCAGACATGCTCTGCTCACCACATACTGACTGTCTGCATCTGTGTGTCCTCAGTTCCTTCCGAAGAACCTGCACTTGGTCTGTGTGGACATGCCAGGACATGAGGGGACCACCCGTTCCTCCCTGGATGACTTGTCCATAGACGGGCAAGTCAAGCGGATACATCAGGTGAGAGGAGGCACCACCAACGCTGTCCAGACTGGGTCTTGCCCACCATTCCCTGCCCAAGTCTGGAGAGCAGGCATTAGGGTTCCTGGCTGTCCCCAGTGCATTCTGTCTGCCCACAAACTATCCACCAGATAGTAACCCTGTTCAGCTCAAGAGGGCCAAGGCTTACTGGGGCCTGGCCTCCTCTAAGCTTGTTGTAGCTGGTTCTCAAGAAATACAATCTGAATGTGCCAATAAAACTGTTAAAAAAGAAAGAAATGAAAGAACACAATCAGTATTTTCTCAGCTCTTTGAAAAGGAAGTTTGGCATGGCTCAAACCCATCGCCTTCTCTGAGGAGAAGTGGCAACACCCTCTCTGCCTGGCTGGGGAGCCGGGGGGAGGTTATGTTCTGCATTCTGTCCTGCTTCTAGCATCTAGCTCCTGCCCCCCTGCGGGGCATTCTAGGTCACAGAGACTCCTGAGCCATTTCAGAATTTATTAGCCTAGAAGTTTCAAATCGGTATTAGGTAATTAGTTTTATCCCAGAGAAGGATATATATTTAATGTCTGCCTCCCCTCAAACTATGTATTCTAATGAGATCGGGGACCTTGTTTCTTTGGCTGTTTGCTACATTCTCAGCATGTGGCCATAATCCCTGATACCTAGCAGATAACAGATAAATATTAGTTTAATGGCTAGATGGTTGAATATCTATTGGATGAATGGGCAGGTGGGTGGAAAGGACCTTAAATTAGGGCAGAAGTCAGCAAACTATGGCCTCTGAACCAAGCTTGGTAAACTGCCTTCACCTGGGATAAAGTCATGTCCTTCACCTGTGCATTGTCCTTGGATGCTTTTGTGTTACAGCAGCAGACAGCAGAGATGATGTGGGGTACAACGTAGAACACATTTACTCTCTCGACTTTGATAACATTGTTCAGTGATCGGTGACTTAGGAGAGCCCTTCCTTAGTTAGAAATGATCCCTTTATAAATGGTGCCAGGTAAAAAGAAATGGGAAGGAACTTCAGAAAGCTTGTGAAAACATGGAATTAAGAGATAAGAGAATTTCCCCACAGAATTTCTGAAGCCCCGTCATACCAGTAGAGAACCAGTTGAGTTTCGGGTTCCCTTTCATCAGTTACCCTACTCACTGTTGAGTGATCCCGACTCTTAGTGACCCATCAGGACAGAGTAGAACTGCCCCTGTGGATTTCTGAGGCTGAAAATCTTTGCTGAAGCATATTGCCCCATCCTTGTCCCATGGAGCAAATGGTGAACTTGAACTACTGACCCTGTGGTGGATTGCCCAACCCGTAGACCACTACACCACCAGGGTCCTTTTCAATGGTCCCCATAGGAAGTTCAGGAGTTTCTATCTTGCAGTTGCCCTTGTCTACAGCTCTGTAACCAAGCCTCCCTTTCATTTCCCTTCCTAGTTTGTAGAATCTCTCAAGCTGAACAAAAAGCCCTTCCACCTGGTAGGCACCTCCATGGGTGGCCAGGTGGCTGGGGTGTATGCAGCTTACTATCCATCGGATATCTGCAGCCTGTCCCTGGTGTGCCCAGCCGGTAAGTGACAGGAGGGAGTAGCCCCATGAGGTGCTTGATCACAGCAGGGTTGGAAACTCTGAAGAAACCAGTGGGGATGAGTTTTTCTGGTATCATCTTTTTAGTGTGTGGTGTAGAGACGGGCAGCCTGTTAGTGATTACACTAACCAAACAACCCCAATAACAATAATCATGCTTTACAGACTTTGTTTTGAAACAAAATTGTATCTGTGTAAGAGATAGGTGGGTCGTCAATTTTGTATTCAACTGCTTATCAACACCCTCAGTCATTTACCCAACACACACGCACACACACAGACACACACACTGATTGCCTTTCTCCCTTGTGGGTGATTGTCTTACGCTTCTCCCAAGGGAACTCCTGTCAACCTTGCCGCTTCATCTTCACTCTGACCCTCCCCCACTTGGTGACCTCCAAAGTCTGTTCCCTGTGACTGGAAGGTCTTCGTCTTGATTTGCCCCCAACCCCTTTCTGGTACACGGTTTGTCCTGTTGTGACTGGCTGACTGGTTTCACAACTTTGAACATGCACAGGCAGCCTTGTTCCACAAAGAATTTGAGGTGGTTGATGAACAAGGGCCGGGTTTCGCAGCTCATTAACACTCGGAAGTAAAGCAATGCTGATACCTTCCGATGTTGATTAAGCTCTTATGAGCCAAGTCCTTTATGTGGATTTCATTCTCACGATAACCCTGGGAGGTGAGAGTGTTATTACTATATGCCCTGCTTTTTTTTTTTCCTAAAAAGTCAGCGATTTGAAAAACGCACACAAATCCAGCAAACTTTACTTTCTCTGTACATGACAGCCCGAGCTTTAGCGTATCTCTAGAAATGGGCATTTCTATAAAGTTGGATTTTGCATTTAACTTCATATTCTCCCATTCGTCTTCAATCTTGGGTTCATAATATGTCAGAGAGACAAACCTTCATTCTACCCCTACCCCTAACCCCCATCTGCTCTGCTCCCTCTTTCTTTGGCATCTTATTGGGGTACAATTCACACACAGGAAATTGCCCAAAACTTAAGCATCCATCTCCGTGCGCTTTTTACACATGTACTTACCATCAAGATCAAGCTAGTGTGTCTATTTTATAGGTGGTAACATTGAGGGGAAAAGAGGGAAAAAGAAAAAAGAGGTTACACTGAACTGGAGCTAGGATAACACAAACACCAAACCCTAATTTTGCTTTCCCCTCCTTCCTTAAAATAGGTAGTGAAAATGGTGCGAATACAGGCTTTTCGTAAAAGCGAAGTGGCTCAGAGCAAACTTCCAAACCACGGGGGATGCCTGCCATGGCCGATCATGGCGAGCCAAACTTGGCTTACATTTCACAGGTTTTCCCGCTGCTGCCAGGATCCAGCCCAGGGCACCACGTCACGTGTAGGCTTAGGATCAAGAAAATAGCTGGTGCCAACTCCCCCATGGCGTTGTGGCGGCCCCACCTGGTCCCTCCTCTTAGATTAATGGGGGCTGCTGGATACAGAGATATAGGAAATGGGGGTCTCTGCCTCCTAACCAACATTGGACACCACTGTGGTCTCTCCTCTCCCTCTGAATGCCACTTTCAGGCTAATTGGACACCGAAAAAGTTGCCCCACCATGGATTTGAGAGTAGATTTGCCCCCGTGCCTACCATCTGTTCTGCGGACCATCTTGTGTCGCGCTCTGGGGCGATAGGAGGTAGCGGGAGGTCTCAGAGCTTGCCCTGCTGAGCGGAGAGGAGGCTGTGCAGAGGGTGGCAGTGCCGTACTCAGACACAGGCACAACTCGGGCACTCATGCTCTGCCCACACACGCTGCTGTTCTGGGCCTCGACCCCACAGGAGGAGATGACGGGAAAGGGGTCCCCGTCCAAGGAAGGAGCAGTAAACCACTCCGGTGATTTTCTTTCTCCCTTTCTTCTTTTCCCTCCTGTGGTTTTCTCAGCCTCTCAAAGACACAGGTGTGAAAGGCATCGAAGCAGGTTGTCTAGTGGACTGTTGTCATGTGCCAAGGAGTCAATCCTGACTCCCGGCACACCCCTCACCTGCTCCCACCGTGTGGACAGAGGAGAAGTGCCCCAAAGCCTGCTCCAGGTGGTAACCAATGCAGAAGCAGATTGTCAGGCCTTTCTGGCTTTGTGTGGAGCGACCACCAACCTTTCTGTTAGCAGCCGAACTCGGAGCGAGCGAGTGCCGCTGAGACTCGGGGAACCTGGGGAAGCTCCGACAACTTGTTCCGATGCAGCTTCTGGTTCGAGCGACCAACAGGAGCTGAGAGCCGGCCTTTCTTGGGAGCACCCATGTGCAGCCAGTGCTGCCGGGCCACGGGCCATGGGCCACACTCTGAGTCAGGAGGCTTTAAGCAATTCTTAGGGTTTCCAACTCCACTCCCTGTGTTTGTCAGAATACCTTTTTGATGTTGACTTAAAGATGCTTTTTTTTTAATCTGGTGAGGGGGAAAAAAAAAAACTACTAGTGAAAGAAGTTGCAAGATATTAGCCCCGGGCAGATCTTGGAAGTTCCCACCGCAGATGGGAACGTGCAGCAGTGAACTGGCAAGCTGCTCTGGTTCGCTCCCCACAGGCCTGCAGTACTCCACTGATAACCAGTTTGTGCAACGGCTCAGAGAGCTGCAGGACTCGGCCGCCGTGGAGAAGATCCCCTTGATCCCGTCCACCCCGGAGGAAATGAGCGAGATGCTCCAGCTCTGCTCCTTCGTGCGCTTCAAGGTGCCCCAGCAGGTGAGGTGGCCCCGCTGAGGTGGCGCCAGCCACCTTCCCTCATCCGTCCTCTCCTTCATGAGCTCATCCGCTTAGCCGCTCAACACGCAGTGCCTGCGACGTGTCAAACCCTGTGTGGAGGCAGGGGTGAAAGATGGGGTGGAGAAGGCTCCTGGACAGACAGTCCAGACAGTCCGGAGGGGGAAGCAGACAATGAACTAGTAAAAGACTGAACCCAGGAAGTCAAGAGGATGCAGTGATTGAAAAGGGGTGTGTGGGAACAGCATGTGCAGAGGTGGAAGGACTGTAGACAAACTCAAGACACTAGCAGGAGGCCGGGATGGATGGGGGGAGCCGAGGGGGAGAGCGGGTTGAGATGGGGCTGGAAAGGGAGGCAGAGGCTAAGTCACTGGTTCTCATTTGTTCTGTCTCGGGATCTTTATTTTAAAAGCCTTAAGAATTATTGAGGGAACTGTGGATTCAATGAATGGATGTAGTTGACATTTATCTTAGTCGATAGCAAAACTGAGAAACACAGTGCACAAGAAGACGCACCAGCACTCATTCCATTAGCAGCCAGAGAGATGCCTATCACGTAAGGTTGGGACAACGGTGTGCTTGAGAGGCGATGGCCGTCAAAAGGCCCAGTGACACTCGGTCTTAAGGAAACCATTTTGACCTCAAGGAAAAGAAGGCACCACTCTGAGAAGCACTGGTTCATGTCAGGAGGCCTGCTGGGTGATAGGAAGGTGTGCACGCTTTCTCGGCGCAGCCGGAGACCCACTGGAGGGAGCCAGGCAGAAGCTGAGAAACTCGCTCAGAGTCTCTTGTGACCTGGAGGAGATGGTGGCTTAGACTAGGGTGGTGACAGCAAGACCAGAGAAAGCCAGAGCTGAGGGGCCTGGGGAAGAAGAAAGAACGGGACTTGTTGACAAATCGGAAGTAACAGCGGTGATTAAGCTGGAGAGGAAAGCAAGAGAAGGCGGGTTTGGGGGATTGGCTGAGAGTGTCATTTGGGGTGTGACGTTCAGGTACCTGTGAGGCTTCCAAGCAGAGATGTCAAGTAGACAGTTGGGGGGCGGGGGGTAGGGGGGTGGGACGGGGGAAGACAAGGGAAGGTTTCAAAAAGTTCATGGAAATGTTCCTTTATCATTGAATTCCACTTCTCCACAAATTGTGTGAAGCCCCCCTCGTATACATGGTATATCAGCTCAGGCTGAGGGCCAGCCACAGTACAGGGACATAGGGGAAGGAGAGAAGCTCACCCAACGTGTGGGACACTGTGTTTCTCGGTGATCCTTGGGGACAAGCACTTCGTGACTGCATTATGAGGCAAGGAAGGGGGATTTGGATGGCTCTGGCTCTGTCTGCAGCGATAGGCTTGCTCAGAAGAACAGTCGTGAGGACGGCACAGGACTGGGCAGTGTTCATTCTATTGTACGCGGCGGCGGCGGCGCTGTGAGTGGGAACCGGCTCGAAGGTGCCCAATAACAGCAGCATGTCTGTGTCTGGTCTAAGGAGCCCTGATGGTGTTCATAGTGGGTTATGGTTGGGCTGCTAACTGTAGGGTCAGTAGTTTGAAACCACCAGACATTGCTCTGGAGAAAGAAAGAATTTTCTACTCCTATAAAGAGTTACGGTAAAAAAAAAATAAAAATAAATAAATAAATAAATAAATAAAGAGTTACGGTCTTGGGAAAACCCTAGTACCCAACGGTAGAAGAACTGATCGAGAAACCTTCGTGCATACACAGAGTGGAATACTACACATTGCTACAAAGACAATGATGCGATCATGGAAAATCTCAAGGCTTGGACGGAGCTGGGGAGCATTACCCTGCTTTATGGGGTCACTGTGAACCAGAACTGACTCGATGGCAGTGAGTTTGGGGTATGTGTGTGTGTGTGTGTCTTTATTAAGGATAAAGCAAGGGAGATTCTGTGTGTTAGAATCAATGTCATATAGGAAGATGGTTCATTTCAGCAAGCCTTTTTCCTGAACATGAACAGAGGGGGGTGGTGAACCATCACTGTGTCCCAGTATTGGAAGGCTCAGGTGAAATTCCATGTCAACAGTGCTATTCTTGCAATCCTCTCCCTCCCTTTTTAGGTGGAGTTGCAAAAGTGCCTCCCAGCTATAATCCTTTCCCCAAACACAGCAAGGAAAGAAATTTAATGTTTAGTCGGAGATCTGGAATTACTGGGAGAAGATAACCCTCCAGGCGCCTTTCGGGGCACGTGAGCCCACACTGTCCCGTGGTGCTGTGATGCGGTTTGCCCTCTGGTGTCTTCTCCGCTGAGCCCTGTGAGATCGGGGCCTTTGTCTTGGTGTGCTGTTATGTCTCCAGTCTCAGCACAGTGGTGGCTCCTGTGAGCCCTGCAGAGGCAGGCGGCAGAGCAGGACCCTGTTCCTGCAGGCCGTGGCCGCCCTCAGAGTCAGCAGACCCAGGCCATGAGATCTGGCCGGCCTGCCTTTGCAGCCGTCTCAGCAGCCTCTGCTGGGAAGGCAGAGACCCTGTCAAATGAGAAACAAAGGCACGCCGGGCCCTTTCCAGAAGGTTCTCGGTGGCTTATTTCTTCATTGCTTAAAAGGCCCTTCATCCTGAATGGTTTACTTTGCATTTTTAGTAGACCTTGTTCTCCGTTTGGCTATTACTGAGTAATGACGTGATATTATTTTCATCCAAATTGTATCTTTGGCTAAGCAGAGAGTGCCTCACAAAAGGGGTTCTCTTAGGCCGTCTCAAGTAAGCGCCTTCTGTGTCCGTAGGGAGTCCTTTGGCTTCGTGCTATTGCCCATGTTCCTTCCTAAGGAAGAAAGGGAGAGGCATCTGAGGAATATAGCACCAACTACAGCGTGTAGTTCTTTAAAAGTGACATCCGGTGGCCAACAAATGTGGAGAAGTGTGCATCGTCACTAACCACCTGGGGCTACAAATCAAAGCCACAATGAAACGCCGCCTGACACCCACAATGACAGCCAAGTGCAGAAAATAGCAGATGCTGGAGAGGGTTGGGAGAGATCGGAAGCCTCATACACTGCTGGGGGGTCTGCACATATGTACAACCGCTGGGGAAAAGGATATGGCACTATCTCACACACCAGGGATAGAAATCCCATAAGATCCAGCAATACCTCTGCAGGGTATACACCCTAAAGAAGAGAAGAGCCATAGCACAGACAGACAGATGCACTCCCGTGTTCATCGAGCCAGAAGGTAGACACAATCCCAGTACCCATCGGTAGAAGAACTGATAGAGAAACCTTGGTACATACACACAATGGATACTACACAATGATGAGCTCATGGAACATCTCCAGACTTGGAGGACCTGGGGAACATTATGATACTGAGTGAAGGTAGTCGATCATACAAGAGAAACACTATGAGATCCAACTACTATAAGGGTGAAAACAAGGCAAGAACTTGCCTACCAAAGGGACCAGACTTTGAAGGTGAACCAAGAAGCAGGGCAGGGCAAAGGGAGGAAGAGGAAATGCTGGGCTGCCGATTGACTGGTGGTGACTTGGGTAGAGGAGGGGGAAAATGAACTGATACCAAGGGTTCAAGTAGAAAGAAAATGTTTTGAAAACAATGATGACAACCTAGGTACAAATGTGCTTGACACGCTGGATGGATGGATTGTGATAAGAGCCATACGAGCCCCCAATAGAATGATTTAAAAAAACAGAAATCATAATAATTGCCACTGAGTTGACTCCGATGCGTGGAGCGCCCAGGTGGTCAGCGTGGGTCTGTTGAGGGGCTGGTTTTTCAGAAGCACATCGCCAGGCCGTCCTCTGAGGTGCCCCCTGAGTGGCATGGAACTTCTAACATTGTGGTGAGCAGCTGAGCACACGAATTGTTCGCACCAGCCAGGGCCCCAACACCATAGAAGATGCCATAGGGGTGTAGAGGACCAGACCCGAAAATCTTGACAGGGCACTCAATTGCTGGACCTTTCCCGCTTGCCTGCCCCACAGCAGGGCGCGGCTCGGGGAAGTGAGCCTTGGCTTGGTTCCTAACTTTGGGTTCTTTTCCCTTAGATTCTCCAGGGCCTTGTTGATGTCCGCATCCCGCATAACAACTTCTACCGAAAGCGTGAGTCTCCCCGCTGGAAGTTTGGGACTGTTGGTTGAGGGTGCTGCTTGGGGGCTGGCTGGCTTCCGTTTCTTGGACTCAGAATGTTTCCGGGGTCCCTGGAGGGAGAAATGGGAGAATTTGGGAGTCATCCCTGTGCCTGTGGTGGCACCCACGGGCTCAGCTTAATACACCCTAACTCGGTTTTCCTTTCCTGAAGTGTTTTTGGAAATTGTCAGTGAGCGGTCCAGATATGCCCTGCACCAGCACATGGACAAGATCAAGGTCCCCACGCAGATCATCTGGGGGAAACAAGACCAGGTATGTGACATGTCCCCAGGGCTGGCACAGGCTTCTGTAAGACGCACTTCTGTCCTCAGGAGGAGGTGGGAGGAAGCAGTGTCGGGTACCGGCGTTTCCAGGGCGCGGAGGGCCGACGACGGCATAACCGCTGTCTTTAAACAGGATAGGCATTTCTAACTTGTTTTTGAAGATCATTTGTGTCAATGCTATATGCTCACACGAAACAAAAAGAAAAGCAGAATTTTTTTCAAGGACTACAAAAGCGTCTGTAATGAAAAAGTGGTCTCTTGCACATCCCTGATCCCAATTCCTGCATCTCTGAGCCACTCTCCTGGCCTGTGTGTGCTTCCTTAGACATTGGTAAGCCTGGAGTTGGTGCACTTTTTCTGTACAGAGCCAGAGAGAAAATATTTTTGGCTTTGTAGGTCACATGGTCTCTGTTGCAACTACTTACCTCTGCTGCCACGGTACAAAGTAAGCCACAGACAGGACAGAAGCAGGTGGGCATGGCTCTGTCCCCATGCCCCTGCCCATATAAAACTACGGCCACCTTGCTTGCTGACCCCCAGTCTTAGCACTCAGATACATGCAGAGACGATACCTAGACATTTTTCAGGGATGCTAGGTATGGGGGGGGGGATTCAAAAGGTTCATGGGAAAATTCCACTGTCTTTTTTGTCCATTTTAAAAATTGTTTTATTAGGGGCTCATACAACTCTTATCACAATCCATACATACATCAATTGTGTAAAGCACATTTGTACATTCATTTCCCTCATCATTCTCAAAACATTTGCTCTCCACTTAAGCCCATGGCATGAGGTCCTCATTTTTCCCCCTCCCTCTCTGCTCCCCCCTCCCTCATGAACCTTTTTTTTTTTAAACCTTTTATTAGGGGCTCATACAACTGTTATTGCAATCCATACACATAACAATTGTGTAATGCGCATTTGTACATAATTCTCAAAACATTTTCTCTCCACTTAAACGGGCATTAGGTCCTCATTTTCCCCCTCCCTCCCCGCTCCCCCTTCCCTTGTGAGCCCTTGATAGTTTATAAATTGGTATTTTGTCATATCTTGCCCTGTCC